GATATTCAAATAATCGAAAGTAAATGGGATACAAATCGAGATATTATTATGCAGTTTGAAACTCGTAGTAGTTTTCTTGGCAATTATTGATGTGGGAATAATGTGAAAAGACAAGTTGGTTGCATCTGATAATAAGATGTATTAGCGAGTATTTTCGGGCCTTCTTACGTGTACAAGGACCATGCACCACCTTCGAGATACAACTTAGTAGCTCCATACGAGCAGCCTCGACTTGACTCAGAATCCCTACACGAGTATATACAGGCCTCGTGCTTTCACGCGTATTCACGACAATTAATGATGTAGGAATAATGAAAAGAGACAAGTTGGTTGCATCTAATAATAAGATGCATAAGCAAGTATTTTCGGGCCTTCTTATGCAGGACCATGCACCACGTTCGAGATACAATTTAGTAGCCTCTTACGAGCAGCGTCGATGTGACTCAGAATCCCCATATGAGTGTTCTCAGGCCTCGTGCTTTCACGCGAACGCTAGGACCATATATCACGTACGATGACATACTTAACTTAGAACCCCTATAGTTCAACAACTAATGTCGTTGTAGAAATGGGATAAACAATACAGTTTTTTATAGGTGGGTCTCTTCTTAAACGACCTCTTGGTCTTGCATGAGCAGGTAGGCTCTACTTTACCGATCTAGGAGATCAATCCGTGAACGGGAGTTGGAGTTGAAACAGGTGTGTTCGTAGATGCCGTTCGGTGTAGGGTCACGCTCTATCCTTCAATGTTTATCTCCGTTGTGGAAATGGGATAAACAAAGATACCCTCTGGCTAGAAGACAGCACCATCTATCGAGAGACGTATTGAACTCTGCACTGCCAAAGCAATAGCGTTTGGCGCTACGACGAAATCTCTCATTTTTATTTGAAGATTATCGTTGATATTTTGGTAGTACCATCCAGAAAACCTCTTTAGAGGGATACAAATTGACTTTGTCGTCCAGTGGCCAGTGACTCCTCCAATAGCCCGACTGCCATCACAGGTGAGAATATACAGGTGGTTTTGATAGGACTTGAATTCCAAGATAAATATTGGTGTCTGTTTCCTGGTAAGGCTTCTTCATTGGCTTAATTTTTGTCACACGACAAATTTTGCCACTTTTTGAGAGCCAGGTGGCCTCACTATAGTGGATCATTAGCCCATATGACTACCATCAACAGTCACACTTCATGAACGTGTATGATTCTTTATCTACCACCAGTTGCTGAGGATTCGTCTGAACTTTTGTGTAGCTCCTACTGCTTGGATCGAAATAGCTGACGTAAAGTATATACCACTGTCCTGGTAAACGATTTCCTGTAACCTTTCTGTTGAAGAACACTAACACCAAGAGATTAGGGCCACATAAACCAATATTGGGATTTTGTGCTGTTACATAATATCTCTTTTTATTGTACTACTATTTCCTGTAAACCGAGGTGATCACCTAGAGCTCGTATACTGTGATCAGGATTGTAAACCCCTCCTATCCATTGAGTCGGTTCAATTATTATCATTCTTATAATTCGCATTCTGTGACTCAGTAGGTACCAAAGATTGTTAAGATATTATAATTGATAGTGATCCCATTGAAATTCATCCAGCGACTACAACAGAGGTTTCCCTTCAACCAATCTTACTCACCCCACAACCCACTGAGCCAGCCAGTGTTCTATACCTTCGAAATGAATGGGACACAATGAACACTTGATTTCATCTCTGGTAGTAGTCTATGCTCAAATTGGAGGTGATGAGATAATTAAGAGAACAAATTCAAAGTCTCGCTCCAAGTGAATTTCATTCAAATCATATGTGTTACATAATAATAATAATAATGTTTATTCACAGCAACAACGATACAGCAAGGTAAATATACAATTTTGAGGCCACATAAGCTAACAGTGGGTGTTATAATAGAATACGGTAGAATTAGTAGGCGTAATTAAAATGAAGTATAATTAAAATCGAAAAAATCAAATAATACTATTATATGAGAAGTTGTTACAATAAACAAAAAGCCCACAGGAACGCAGGGTTGTACGTGGGTTTTGTCATGCATTTTAATCATATATTGATATTCCAGTAGAGTGAGTGTGGATGAAAAAAGACGAAAGCTTACAATTCAGAATATTAAGAAGATGTACATGAAGATGACAGACAGAAAAGGGCTATTCATAAAAATATGTACAATTATAATTGACAATAGCTAACTAACTTAACTGAAACAATCACACTTGAATTCAGCAGTTGAAAGAAAGCAATATTTAGACTAAATTCCTTATATTCACTACTTTGTGGATAGTTAAACGATCCACGTTGTGAATATGGTCTTTGAATTGTTTTTTTAATTTATTTATATTAGAGTATTTCATTATATTCTTCTTAGTTTCATCAGATAAAAGGTTGTATATTCGTGATGCCAAGTAATAGTGGTTTCGTTGACCAATATTTTTTTTTGCCGTTTCTGTTCTCGCTTGCAATTTGGTTTTTTGTCTAGTATCATGATAATGGTCGATTATTTGAATTATGTTTTCATTTTTATGCATGAAAATGTGTACATGGAAATAGAATAATTGTCGGATGTCTAATAGTTTCGTTTCCTCGAAAAGCTCTTCAGTTGGGTAAGTAGGATTTTTTTTGAAAATTATCTTCAGAAAATATTTTTGTAGGATTATTAATCGTTTCAGATAAACATCCAGTGCTCCACCCCATGCCAAGATTCCGTACTGCAATCGTGATTCCACCAATGCATAGTACAATATCTTCATATGGTAAGTATCAAGGATATTAATCAAACATTTGAATCGGTACAGCATGGTTCTTAAGAAATTTACTACATTTTGGATATGTTTGTCCCATCTCAAATGCTGATCAATAGTAATTCCAAGATACTTGATATGCTCCGTGTACTTGATATATATAGGTTCATTCCCGTATTTTATGGTCAGCCTATCATAATCTGGCAAATTACTTCTAAGTGACGTGAAGGGCACAAACTTTGTTTTGTCGAAATTTATGGTAAGTTTCATGTAACTGAACCAGTGAACTACATTTTTCATGTCACTCTCAACATTTTTTTTCAGTTCCTCCCAGCTCTTTGCACGATAGAAAATTACCGTGTCATCAGCAAAACTTGTGATGTCTCCTGAGATTTTCAGAGTGAGTAGATTATTCAGATATATGTTGAATAGTGTGGGACCTAGTACTGTCCCTTGAGGCACTCCATACTCTATAGTTCTTCTCTTACGAAATTCTGTTTCAATTTGTACAGTCTGCTCTCTACTATGTAGGTAGCTTTCGAATAGCTTGTTTGGAGTGCCTCTTACTCCCATTTCCTCCAAGGCCTCCAACAACAGTCCATGTTCAACCGTGTCGAAGGCCTTGGAAAGATCTAGGAATATGCACAGTGCCGGTTCTCCATCATCCACCGCATTGTGAATATTGTTCACTAAATAACTAATAGCGTCTTGAGTTGATTTACCTTCCTGAAATCCGTATTGTTTATTTGATAAGAGTTTGTATTTTTTGATGTAACGGGTTAATCTGAAGTTTAGGGCTTTTTCAAATATTTTTGTGAACGAGCTAATCAAGGATATAGGCCTGTAGTTGATTGGCAATGTTCGATCACCTTTTTTATAGATGGGTTTTACCACCGCTAATTTGAATTCGGAAGGAACATAGCCATTTACAAATATTTTGTTGATTACATATGATAGGGGAGACGATAGTTCAGATTTGAGTTTTCTCAGTGATTCTGCTCTTATAGAATCATATCCTGGAGCCTTATTTGATTTAAGTGTGTCTATGATTTGTTCTATTTCTATATGATTCGTTGGTTCAATGAAGAACGAGTGAGGATTTCGTTGTTTTTCGGGCATTTCGTATGGGATTGTTTTGATTTCGCGCGCAAGCTTCTTTCCAACGTTGACATAATATTCATTAAATATGTTTGCAATTTCATTTTTATTCTCAGTCAAGGTACCGTTTTCTAATTT